AGCTGCTGAATGAATGTCGGGATTGATGACCGACGAACTTGGGCAACGAGCTTGCCAAGTTAGCGGCACCACGTAGGCCAGATCGAGACAGCAGAACTGAGGCGAGACTAGATTTTATTTAGGACATTTTGGTTATAAATTCGTTGTGGGTAAAGTTCTACTTACTTTGCAGCTGTATTGTTGTTTGTAGATTTGAATATATTTTAGAGTGCAGTTTGTTTTTGTTGATAAATGTTTGTGCCTCTTTCGAGCCTCACCGAGTCCATTGCATGGGCCCGCACCCGGAATCCATGACAAGTGAACAAAAAAAAAAAAAAAAAAACGGTCCACAATTTTGTTTGATTCCTTTAGGGCTGCAAAAATGTCATACGGTGCTCCAAATAATCGCCAGTAACTTTTGTTAGATGTCAGCAATCATATTACAGTCGAATCTCGATCATTCGAACTCGAAAAAGCCCAAAATTTGTTCGAATTAAAAGAAGTTCGAAATAATTAAAGCTAAACAAACGAAGGGCTCACCATGCAGTGGCGCATAAGCATTGATAACACACGAGGGGGAGATTTCATAAGACTTACAATTATTCTCAAATCACAGGAAATACATCATTAATTGAAGTAATCAGTGATGCACGTCTACACACGTTTGTCTTGCAGAGAGTCAATCAATTTCACACACAATTTGCAAAGCATTTCTACTTCGACTTCAGCATTCTCCTGGCAAGAGAAGTTGCGCGCCGCAATTTCCAGTGCCAACACTCTCTAAAGACGACAACGACTGCTTCTTCGCTGCTACTCTCTGCGCCACAGCCGGAGCGTAGCCAGCACATGATGAAAAAGGAGAAGGAGAAGCGTCTCCACGCAGAGAGAAGCAGATCAGTATTTGAGAGAGAACCAACACTCCGTGGCAGCTTTTTCTTCTTATTTTTTTTCTTTTGTTCTCTTCACGTGCGCCGTTGAAAGGACAAGGGTCTCAACGTGGCAGGGATGGGAAAGGGGAAGCATGGCACCAGCCCGTCGCAGATCGGCATTACAGAAAGAGCTAACACTCCGTGACAGATTTTTTTTTTACTTTCCTGTCTCTCTTTGCGCGCGGTATTGAAAGGAGAAGGGTCTCTAGGTGGCATGGACAGTAAAGGAAGAAGTGGCACAGGCACGTCGCAGATCGGCATTCGGCGAAGAGCAAACATTTCGCCGCAGTCTTTTCTTTACTTTTCTTCTTTTTCTCCTTGGCACGCAGCATTAAGGTGGCGGAGGTGCCGCCATGAGATCAGGCATAGTGCTGAGAGCACTTTCGGAGTGTGGTATGCTCGACTTGACAGTCGCAAGTGCTAGTGCTTTCGAATTACAGGGTGTTTTCGGCCATTAGAATACACATAGCTTTGATGGGACCACAACATCAGTGCGAATTAACCAGAACTTCGAATTAATGAGATTCGACTGCAGTACTCAAAATTAGGTGGCATACACACACGTGAGTAACTAAACAAACAGTTTGTGTCTTGTGAATAGTGCTAACAGCCCCTTCCAAATCTTGAGATGCTTTTCCCCAGGCCATTAGTGAACTGCGGCGAAGGTGGCTTAAGCGACAGTCATCATTGGATAGAACAAGGCCAATAAATTTTGAAACACTATACTTTCCTTTTTTTTCTCACTAAGGATTTAGGCTTAAGGCACAACCTCTCAGTTTGCTTGCAAGGAGCATTTTACTAGATAAAGTAACAACGACACGTGCCTGTTGGCTTGGCAACCGTAAATATCTCGCATGTGTCGTTGCTCTGGCAACTAACGTATGGCTGGCAATGCCGGCGTTCGTAGCCCATCGAGTTTTTTCGTGCGCAGTAACAGCGGTATACGCTTCCAGCTTTAGTTCCTAACATGCCATAGCCACATTTGCCGACTAAAAAATTCATATTCCCGCAAAGTGTTGCTGGCTACAGCAACACATTCTTGGCTTGAAGATGCGTCGTACTGCTGATAGATATCCGTTGCTCTGAACGAACTGTTATGGGCACGACATTGTTACTTTATCTGGTCTATCATGTTTCGAGAGTATGGTCTGCGCACCTGGATCCTTAGATTGATTGATGACGCAAACTACAAGTGGCCACCTTTTGTCACTGAAATTAGCGCAACTGAGAAAATTTTAAGGCTGGTCGGACAGTCGGGCATTTTGGTGCAGCATGGCGTAATTTCGGCAGATTTCATAGTTTTGGTCCAGCTCGGTGCAAAAATGGGGAATTGTATCAAGTTGGCGCAGTGACTCGACGGCTCATTTACAATTTTTTCCTTCTTTCGTGAATAATGGCATGTCGTCCCTAAAAGCAGCACCTTTGACATCTGAAACCTTGCACAATGTTTTTGTTTAAAACAAACGTAGACTTTGGAGGCTAAGCTTTTTCATTCAGCAAAGCAGCAGCTACCACCAGCGCCAAAATGTCAACCACTGTTTCATAGTTATCTCGGCGCAGCATCACCTGTTGACTCGTTTAGTTCTTGCTTAGTGAATTTTGTCACTTATTCGTAGGACTACAGCAAGTGACTACATCGGTGCAGATGAAAACGTAGCTGTCCCTGACTGTATCGATCATGGGTGATGATGCTAGTGGGGCAGAAGTGGGGCCATGCGGTTGTGAAAAAACGAACTGATTACTAAACAAGCTATTATCGTGCTCCACAGCTTGCATGCACATCACTTCAGACTGCTGTGATTAAAGCTGCTAAATTTGCTTGTTTAGAAACATCTGAGGATATTGAAAATGTCTTGATGAACTTGAATGTGTGCAAAAAGCAAGACAAGTTAACACACTTTCTTCATGTAAAATGAAGTGTGGCGCTTTGGAAAAGATTTGGAAAAGAAGTCATCAGCTTGTGCTTTAGCACCTTGTGAGCAATTTATCACGTTACAACTTTTTAACGTTTCTGAAAAGTTTCGACACCTGCAGTGCAATAATATAAGCCTTAAATATGTATATTTTGTACTTTGAATTACGTTTCACGGTCCTTTTTCGGGTTTGATATATAAAAGCCAGAAAAAATAGTTGAGAAGAGATATTCCCTAAAGTGCTTGACTGTATACTTGTATTCGTATTCATAGGGCAACAAAGACTGGTTCTTTTCTGCGTTACGAATATGAACACAAGTGATTCAAACCAACTATCCCACATCCGCTTTGACTGTACACTGCTCGCTCAGCACGTTGCGTTAAATTACGCAGTGTCACAGAGCATGCATCCTTCAGCACACTAAGAGTAAGCTATTTGCATGCCCCATTCATCAGTGGCAGTATGCAGAGCTCAGAGGTGCTTCAGTCTGCTCTTTTCATAACCAGCGAGATGGTGAAAAGGGCGCGCTTTAGAGGTTGCCAAACAGCCAGTTTTTCACTGGAGTTATGATGCACGCCTCTACTTTGCCCGACAAGGCGTTGTTGCTTGTGCATGGCGCTTATCTCATGAGAGGGGCTGTATGTACGTTTTGTGCTTTCACTGCAATGTTAGTGCTGAACTTATACAGGGCATGAAGCTGCAAAGGCTGCATTTGCCAAAAAAAGTGAGCCACTAGCTAGGAGAGCCAAAGTAGGGGCTGTGCATAGTCAAGACTTGCGGCGTACAGTTCAAACACGAAGCACAAAAAACAACTGTGAGCGTTGTTTGTGCTCGTCCGCTGCATACCTGTGCAATCGTCCGCCTTTGTGTTCAAGCAAGTGCCCTGCAAGTGTTGAGCTGCGACAGAGTCAATTTGCACTCGTCCTGTGTGTGCATTCTTTTTAGGTGCCCTCTGCATACTGCTCGTTTCCATCTGCTAGCAGTTCTTGTCATGACATTTCAATTTAATGCAATCATATTTATTTCTTGGCCCTTGTGGAGAAATTGTGACTTTTTCCCTTGTTTTCAGTTTATGCCGACTAGCTCAAATGCCCTCTCTTAGTTGTGAGACCCCAGTGATAAACATTCACTTTAGTTTTGAGGCAGCTTCAAATCAGTTTCATAAGAAGATATTAAATTCTCCGAGTTGGCCATTCCCCTGAAAACTAGTCCTGTAGTTAAAACATCGCGGTTACGTGTTGCCTGACATTATAATGTGGCAGGTTCTCCCGTGGCATGTTCTAACTAGCAACTTGACACTTTTCAACACGATGCTGATTTGCAACAAGGACTCTGTGATAGTTGTGCAGTTGGGAGTGATGCAAATACACTTCAATTATGCAAATGCTATGCCAAAATTTTCTTGCATTGAACACTAAAAAAATGCTGACATGAAAAGCTTTTTCGCAATTCTGTTGTAAAACATAGGTCACGACCCACTCGTGAAAATCGAAAACTTCCTTGTGCATGCACAAAAATTGATTCTGAAAGTTATCACCCCTTGGAAATGTGTACTGCTTTAAATCTGCCATTGCACCATTCGTGCAGCCTTGCAACTGGAAAATTACTTACAATAGACCGGTGAGTGGACTAACAAGAATTCAATCAGATTTGAATGAGAAACATGGAAAATTTATGTTAAAGCAGGTAGCGCACGGGGAACAAGTACACAAGTGCCAACTTCAAACTGTTCCTTTACGCAGCCTGCTTTAACACTCACACACCCAGCTGTCCGTTCTCATAAGATGTCGAAAGGAGAGAAAAGCAAAGAAGTGACGAACCACCGCTGATAACCGATGTGAGAGGAAAGACAGAAGCAAATGCAATAGTCAAGTGTTGCACAGAGAAAGTGACGCATGAAAACACCTCAGAGCCTGCACCCACAAGACCTGCTTGGCATTGCCCACAGAAGATGCACACTACGAAAACAAGGCTTAGTTTTCATGCTTGTTTAAAGCGTAGAACCTCACAGCAATACCATTCCCAGAAAAGAGCGAAAACAATAATTTGACACGTTGTGTTAAGTAGAGTTAATAGCTCGAAGAAAGCTTGAAACCAAACTGGGACGAAAAGCCAATGGCCACGCCGAGTTAGTGGTGGTGCCAAAGAGAGGGAACAAAAAAAGGGGGCGGGTCTTACTTCTTGGTCTTCCCACCATCAGCTGCTTCGGTCAATGTGGGAGGGCTGCTGCGGCGATGGAAACACAATGCTCAACCACCATACTGTAGTGGGACCCGGTTCACTCAACAATTCTGAACTTTAAAATTGAACCTCACTAGCAAGCACCAGTGAAAACTACAAAAGCAGCCAAGTCAAACTCGGATATATCTCGTTTGTCGGGATTTGAATGTCATACAATCCCAGTAATTCAAGCTACAAAAAACCATCCAAGGCATCACGTGGACATAATCACACACTGTATCACTGGGGCATTCACTTTTCTCAGTCGAGGCTTGACCGAGCTTTTTCGTATGGCCACGCCAGTTTTCGCTAATGGACGGTTGTGCAAACGTATGCGCACCTAACGAAGCCCGACGAGTTGTCAGTCAGGTGTGCCGTTACTTCAGCATGTATACTCTCTTCATAGTTCCCGAACGATTTCATGGTAGTGGACATGGTCATGCGAATGAGCTGAAGTGTTTTTCCACGCAATGGCAACCATAGAAAAAAGGCCATGCACTTTTGGTACCGCTACAATGGCGTCATCACATGTAGTTCTTCGTTGCTAACTGCAATGCACGTAAGGCGACGGATGCGTAGTTCTGCTGCATTGCCAACAGCGCCTTTGAAAATTCATCGTACGCGCATTGAGCTCACGCGGCAACGTCTCGTGCAATAAACCGTCCATTACACTGTTGGTAGGATAAAACGGGAGAAAACTAAAAAGAAAACTAATAATTCGGGGTCTTTTGAGCCAAAACTGATGGTGTGAGAACCTGGATGAATTGTAACCACCTAGGCGGCTTTCACAATCGCTTAGACTTAAGTACATGGCTGTTAACTGTTACACAATCAAACCAGTGGCCTTATGCTCACAGTCATCATGGAAGGTACGAAAGCTTTTTTTTGTAATATAAAAAAAAGATACAAAAGTAGTTCAACATGTAAATTGAACCCAAGACATCACAGTCACAAGCTCAACTATTACAGTCATGCTTTCTGGCAAGCACAGATGGTGACATTTTTAAAATTATTTGTGTGCAATAACTGACTATAATAACAATTCTGCTGTTTTCAACACGAATATATGAATGAGTAAAAGATTACTGGTGAAAAAAAATTACAACGCTTCATTATACGATATTTGAATCGTATGCAAAGCTATGTATTCATATTGGATTCGTTTTCGAAAATTTTGGTATTCGCACACGCCTAGTGATGAGCCTCTTACTCATACGTGTCCATATTGCTTGTCGGCAACTGAGCGTCAGATTATCTAAAATGAGGTCGGCGAAATGCTCACCAAGGACAGCAGAGAGCCCCTGTCGTGCTAGTCTACAAGAAAGACAGCACATAGAATTTCTGTATCAATTATCGACATTTACACAACATCACAAAAAAAAGAAAGCCTGTGTCATGAATAAAACTTCATTATAATGAATACCACATTAACAAACTTTTTGGATTAATGAACTTTTAAGAAATCTCGTGCTGACTGCTTAGTTTTAACGTAAAAATATTTCACTACTACGAAGTTTAGAACAACGAACATTTCAGAATAACGATCATTATTTATATCCTACGTCATTCTAACAACACCTCAGTACAAGGAATTTATATCCTGAAATATGAAGATTCTTAGATTACAGTGTATTGGTCCTGGCAATCGGAGCGGCAAGCTAGCAGACACGGCGCGAAGAGCGAATGCCCTCCCACGCAAAAGCTTGAGATGGCAAGGGAGAAGAAAAATTCTGGCGGAGGACCTTTTTTTTTTGTTTGTCCATGAGACAGCGATTTCTTCGTTGCGCAATTCCTCTTTGTCGCAAGCTTCATTCGCAGAACCGAAGTTTTGGCTCTCTCCACAGCGAATCCAGCAAGGCAAAAGCAGTTCGCGACTCTGGCGCTCCCTGTCTCGCACCACAAAGCAGCAATCATTTGGAGCACCATGAACAGGTTGATTTTCGTCTCGTGCCCCGAGCGTTCAAAATCATCCTATGAATAAGACGCTTGCAGTAATTGCTCCTCACACTTTGGATGACCCCTTGGACAAGCGGCTGAATGATGGTCGTGCAGTTAGGGGGTAGAAACTTGAGCTGCATGTTTTTGAACTCCACATCCTCAATGGCGTGTGTGGAACAATTTTCTAAAAGCAGACGCACTTTTCGGCCTTGCCTGCCCATGTCCCGGTTGAATTCCCTGGCCCAGTCAGGAAAAATTGCACGGGTCATCCACGCCCGGCTGTTGGCCACGTACTTCAATGGAAGGCGCCGACTTCACTTGAAACAGCATGGCTTCACACTTTTCCCAATAACCAAAAGAGGCAGCTTAACTGAGCCATGAATATTGACGCACAAAAGCTCGGTTATCCTTTTTTTTTTTTCTGTGCTTCCCTCTGTGACAGTGTTGCCCCTTAAAACCTAGAGTCTTGTTGGGAAGCATCTTGTAGAAGAGGCCTGTCTCGTCGGCATTATATATATCTGACGGTGCGTAGTCAGTGCGGATGCTTCCGCGGCTGGCCGACATCCACGGGGCGGCACCGTCTGTATCTGTCGAAGCAGCTTCACCGCACAAAACTTTGCCGATGATATTGTGGCGAGCTTTGAAACAATTCAGCCAACCCACAGTGGCTTTAGAATCGTCGATGCCGAGCACGCAGGCGAAATCTAGCACTTTTGTTACACAATATCGCCATTAAGGGCAATTTCTTTGGCCTGCGTCTTAAGAAACCAGGTGTTGACAACCTTGTCTTCTTGTGTTTCGTCGACGTTCCTAAAGAAAGAGCTTTGATTATGGTGTCCTTGCTCTTCGATATAGTTCAAGCAGAGCTCGCTGCAATTCCAAACTCTTCAGCGATTCGCAACTTCTTCCTCCAAGCGTCAGCCTCGGTGTTAATGCAAGCCTCGTCTTCGAGCGACAAAAACTTGCGCTTTTTTGCCAGCCGAGACATGGCTAATTCATGACAACGCACCTTTGGGAAACAATGACTGAAAAACCTGCGACCACTCGTTGTGCCGCTAGCCAGTCAAACTGGAAGTCGTCGCCCAAACGCCTTGTTGCACCCTACCGGAGTTTGGTTTGCCATTTTCAATTTTGGTACAGCAACTCCTTACAATGAAGCAACTCCTTACAATAAAAACAGTTTCCCTAATTTCATAAGAACGATTAAGAATACAAAAGAAAGAAGTTATTGCTTGCTGTTCATACGCAGACACGATTCAACTTGTTTCCTTTTAACCTATTGTGTCGCTATCACTCAACATCATCATCACATACCACAGCATGCTGTTTTGTTTACGTTGCACAAGTCTACGTTGCGTGCCGAATGTTTGCTCTGAGCAGGTTCTCATGTGATTTTACTTTATGTTATTAAGGTCCGTGGTTTGGCAAGGCATTCAAAACACTTTTGAAATTTTTATAAAGCTCTACTTTAAATAATGCGTGACTGTTTCACAAAAACTTCGTTGAAGTGGAACCGCAGCCATGATGAAGTTCTACTCGAGAAAATTTCGAAGCATTATGCCCGATGAAACTTCGATGGGGAATGAAAAAACATTCGTAGCAGCAAAAATTTCGTTGAAGCGGACTTCGTTATGGCGGGATTCGACTGTAGATGACGATGTCAAGGCAGCCCCCAAAAACCGCGACGAGCCCGTGTCGGCCACAGGTGCATTGGACTACCCGAGGGAACTCTGCATATTCGTAGAATAAAGTGGCAGAGCGACCGAAAAAGTGTGAAAAAATGGGGACGGTCTAGAATCGTTCATGATGCAGAGCTTGTGCTACACCCGTCAAGAAACGATCAAAGATTATTTAAAATAAATGTGCCTTGTCCGACGTTAACATGTTCATTGTTGTTAGAAAACCAGTTCACAAATATACGGTTGCAAAGGTAGGACGTTTCCATTACTGAAATGTTATTATGGTAATTTTGGGGTTTTAATTACAGTCGATGACCGATTTTTCGGACCCCCAATATTTTAGACATTTACCCGGCACCAGAACATACCCTATAAGTTCAATGTATTTCGCAGCTCGAAATTTCTGACACTTAAGGACGGGCTGTTCGATATTTCGAACTTTCCAAGCGTCAGTCGAGCCGACTGGCACCATTTTTTCGCACCACCGCCATCTTGTTCGTTTACTTTTTTTTCTCCAGTAGCCTCGAACCGGTGCTGGGCATGCATGCAGCCGCTAGCTCCGCTAGGGTGGCTACCTCGAACTGCTGGATCGAGGCTAATATTTCCGCATCAGCGTCGCTGCCAAAAAATTTTTCTTTCTTCTCTGCTGTGACCGTTGGATTGACAGGAACGCATCGACTGACTGTCCGCCTGTGTGTGTGCCATGTGTTCCACGTGTGTTGCCTAGCTAACTGTGCTCATTCATAATGGATAAAGGATCGTCGATGTTGTTGTCGTCCTAGAGAGCTCCGATGAAGCACGGCAAGTGTGTCACTATGCCGATGGCGAAAAAAGCTGCCATCGTCAAGCTTGTAAAAAGTGGCTGATCGAGGGCCGACATTGCAAAAGAGTTCCATATTTCCAAACAGACTCTTTCGGACTATATCAAGAGCAAGCGGAAAATTTTAAAGGCGGCGGAAAAGTGCACTAGATGTCAGAAAAATGTCAGCCAAGATACCTACCAAAAGCTGGAGGAGGCCCTACTCGTATGGCAGAAGTTGACAGTGGCCAGCAAGGTTCCCTTCTCTGGGGGCCTCCTCAAACAGAAAGCCGAGATGATGGTGCTTCAAATGAACATTGAAGGATTTAAGGTAAGTGACGGCTAGCTCAGAAACTTCAAGAAGCGCTCTGTCCTCAATTTGAAGAAACTGTGCGGTGAAAGTGCCGCTGTTGACCTCAGCGTCGTTGCGAACTACTGCTCTGAAAAGCTGCAGTCCCTTTTACAGCAGTACTCGCCAGACGATACTTTCAACTGTGACAAGACCGGACTTTTTTTTCGAGCTGATGCTAGAAAAGACTCTTGCCTTTGCTGGCGACCCTTGTCATGGTGGCGAACACAGTAAGGAGCGA